CATGGAAAGCATTAGTATGACTGGGCCCTTCATAATCACAACTTTTTCAATCCTTTTTATGTAAAAACATTTTAAATTTGAGTTTGTTACGGTTTGTAGCACCAAGTTTAAAAAAAAATGCTTTCTACCAGAACAGGATTATAGTGCTTTTTTTTTTTTTTTCAAAAGGGACAAACTGCAGAATAAAATCTGTAGGTAATTCCAATCATTTTTTTTATCCATAAAGTGAATAGTTAAAAATGTTTTAAACTGAACTTAAATATGAAACTTCTTGCAGAAAAGAACAGACTCACAGGTTCCCTAAAGACCAATTTGAAGAAACGCGTAGGTTGGAGTCTTAGCATGGATGTCACGCTGCTGCTAGCGGATACTGAGCAGCGGCTCGATTTGTGAGTCTGTTTTGCCTTCCTTGAATTTTTACATTTTCAAATGTTTTATCTGCATACCTGCACTGTTATTAATAAATACTACACTAAGGGGTTGATTTACTAAAGGCAAAATGGGCTGTTCATTGAAAGTGCAGTTGCTCTAGATTTGAGGGGAACATGCAAGGAAAATTTAAACAAAAATAAATAAATTTTTCCTTGCACATGATTGGAAGAAAGAAATCAGCAGAGCTTCACCTCATTTTAGAGCTTCCCCTCGGATCTAAAGCAACTGCATATGCAGTGCACAGTACTTTCTGTATATCTTTAGTAAAATCAACCCCTATGGCTTCATTCTATTTGCTTGCGTGATGAGCTCTCTTTTGACATAGTGGTGTGCAAGCTTACTGCGTTCCCTGCTTTTAACCTGGAAGATTAAAGGAGCAGTGTTCTAGCTGGAAATCTGGAGGCTTAAAGGAGCAGTGTTCTAGCTGGAAATCTGGAGGCTTAAAGGAGCAGTATACTTGCTGGAAATCTGGAGGCTTAAAGAGGCAATATACTTGCTGGAAATCTGGAGGCTTAAAGAGGCAATAAATTTGCTGGAAGTCTGGAGACTTAAAGGGGCAGTATACTTGCTGGAAATCTGGAGGCTTAAAGGGGCAGTATACTTGCTGGAAGTCTGGAGGCTTAAAGGGGCAGTATACTTGCTGTAAGTCTGGAGGCTTAAAGGGGCAGTATACTTTCTGGAAGTCTGGGGGCTTAAAGGGGCAATATACTTGCTGGAAGTCTGGAGGCTTAAAGGGGCAGTATACTTTCTGGAAGTCTGGAGGCTTAAAAGGGGCAATATACTTGCTTAAAATCAGTGACAACAGTGGAGGAACAAGACCACCTGGTAGTTATTCTTTGAGCTTGCTGTGCTGTACTATTTGCAGCAAAACCTTCTGGAGAGCTAGTGATTCACTTAAAGGGTGTGGTGTGGACACTCACTGGGAGATTTCATCATTGACTGGACATGGTGGTGGAGACATGTTTATTTCATTATTTACAAACGTAAGTATATTATTTAAGGCAGAGCTGTGGATAAGGGGGTACCACCAGTCCTCCTCTATGGGGCCCAGGCAGCTGTGTGAATTGGATGTGGGCAGAGAGGGTGATTGGCATGGTGGGGGGGGGGCAATTACTGGAACCGATGCCCTGTATGGCTTTCTACAGCATCTGAAAGCTGGATTCTTCTCCTCTCCCTCCTGCTGTTTTTCAGCTGCTACAGAGAGCCATACAGGGGATCGGTCCCAGTAATTGCCCCACCCCACCCACCATGCCGCTCACCCTCCCTGTACACATCTGATTCACCCAGCTGCCTGGGACCCCACAATGCCGGCTGTCCTCCTCTCCTTCCCACCGTAAGCATACAATAGGATCCTTCAGGATGGAGAGTGGGGGAAGGGTCTGATAAATATATTACATTAACCAGCCCCTTCCTTTCCTGACTGAATGCAATTGAGTGATCAGCATTGATCACTCACTGTGTTCATTCATAACTGAAACATAGTAAACTGTGTTTTGTTTTTTTGAAGGGGGCCCTGTCAGGTTTGCTGTATGGGGACTGTGGTTTCTAACAGCAGCCCTGATTTAAGGCATATTGGAGACAAATTTCTTTAACCCCTTGACGCTGAGCACATGCAAATATGCTGCCTCTCGGCGTCTGGGGCTTGATGCCGAGCGGCCGCATATTTGCGTGCAATTAGAAAATACATATGTGCTGAGAGTGAGCGCCCTGCGTGCTCCCAGCACATATGTCCGTGACTCACGGAAAGGTCCCGATCTCCCCTTTCGATTGAGACCTTTTCCGATCATGTGACCGCCATGACGGCGAATCATGGTGGTCACATGACCCTAAAACTCTACCTGCCTTCCGGCTTCTGAAACTCTTAAAAGGCCGGGAGGTGCTGGCACGAAGTGATTAATTAGGAACTTTATTCATACTATTTGAGACACACTGGACATTTAATTCATGTTTATAACGAATGCACTTTATAGTGAAGGAGGTCATTTTCTTATCATTTATTGCACTTTTGAATTGTTTTTTGCACTGCACATTCTGTTTTTTTATAGTTTGTGGACCAACCTGTTTGTTAGCTGCCTAATCCCTATAGGCGCGGACTAGTCACCATATATTTATTGTTGCAGAGTAGCAAAAAAAGAAAAAGTTCTGGTAACACTTATTGAATCAATGATGTTAATTCATTGAATTTACTGAAAGTGGACACCCACGTTAGCACACAAGCTAAACGCAAACAGAAGGGCACTCCCTATCAAAACATTATTACACCATCGGCAATTCCGTGCATGCATTGGCCTGATCATGACCTGTATTGAAGATGCAGATGACTGTACTGAGCCACAGAAAGGCCATTTCCGCGACACACTGCAAACAGGACACCTGAGTCTAACGAATGACAAAATCAGGGCTGGGAAAATCACAGGGACCACACAGAACTATTCCCGCTGATGTCATATGATCCCCTTAAAAGTACTGAATGAGGAAAGAAAAAACAGAGGGCGCACAGGCCTAGTGCATTACCATAAAAAATGTTTAATAAAAAATAAAGTAGGTGTTGTACTCACAAACGACAATATAGTCAAGGCACATCATAAAGAACAGCTGGGTCAACACCGCGCTGAGTAACAGTCCGCAATAGGGGGAGTTTAGACATCCAAAAGGCTGACGCATTTCGAGGACTTGCCTCTTCCTCAGAGCCAGTGGCTCTTTATGATGTGCCTTGACTATATTGTCGTTTGTGAGTACAACACATACTTTATTTTTTATTAAAGATATTTTATGGTAATGCACTAGGCCTGTGCGCCCTCTGTTTTGTCTTTCCTCATTCAGTATATTTGGATTTCCCCGGTCCATTTGAGGGCAGCAAGGTGTGCATGTTCCAGGACATTCCTTATGTGGTTGTAGCCTGCATCGAGTCCATCCCCAAGCGCAGGAGCATTTGTGTTTGCTGCCCCTTAAAATTACACCTGTCTTCAGAAAATTATGAAACGTTCCACTGCTGACCTGGTCTTCTGAAAATATTAGTTCCCCAACTGTCATGGTGATCCTTTGCCTTCTCACTGTCCTCGAGTAAACCTAGAGATAAGAAATTCTGACACTATACTGGCACCCTCTATGTAATATATTTGCATATTAATATGTAAAATGGCAATCCTGAGGTCTTCTATAGTCAGATTTTAGGGATCCTCTGCAACGTTATTTTGGATTTTTATTCATATATTTTAACTAATTGTTGCCCCCCCTTCTCCAAGTGGGGGGGGGGAAAATCACCATTTAATGTGTTTGTTAAGTCTCTAAGATAGCTATGATTAAGGCCTGCATGGCCAAAACGCATAGGCTCCTTATGCGTTTTTACACTGTTCCTTGACACCCTTTAGCTAATTTTCACTGAGGTGCTAGCTTTTTGTCCTTGGATTGTGTTTGCATTGTGGTCTACAGAAACTGTTAGCCTGAGCACCAGTGATTCTCTTTAGTGGGCTTGGAGAGAGGAAGTGGCAGCACTGCTGTATATGACTTATCCTCTGCAATAGGAACTAGATTTTTGTGAGATAATCCCTAAAGGTTAATTTCTAAAGCAATGCAGACACTGCAACTTTCCCCATTAAAACACTGCAAGAGCATCAGCTGATTAGAATGAACACAGACACTCCCATTCAGTATTCCAAGCACATAGTAGAACACACAGCTTTTTCTAAGGAACAGATACAGGCAGGATTTTGCTGAAAAGTTTGTTAAACTCTTTGCAATTCACATAGATCACCCAGAGAGGATTGCATTTTTTTCTCAATAAAAGAAGAGTTACTAATTAAGGCCCCCATAGACTGTTCAAATTTTGTCTGCTTCTTGCTGAATCAGCTGAATTTCAAGTCATGGGTGGCCCTGGAAACACCACCCAGCTAGATAAAGGTCAGCTTTGCCCGGTGGAAAATTAATCAGCTGAAGAGTGACTGCATCCTATCAAAGATAAGATCTGATTGCATTTTGTTCGGCAGCACCAATGTACTCAGAAAGTTATGGGTGTCACAACTTCCTGAATACAATAGACAGCAGTGAAGAGTACTCCTTCCACACCAAAAGTATGAATGGGGTAATCGACTGATTTCCTTTTGTTTAGCCAACGAGCTGAACAGGAGAAAATGGAGCTGTATATGGTAGCCATTAGGTAATGGTGTCACTCAATTAAAATATGCAGGAAACTGCCATTCCTTCCTTCTATGAATGCTATCTGTATGGCCATCATGCCGATACTTGACCTGCCCCACAATTAGGGTTTGGCTCTACCCTCTACCACCCAATCTACTGGTCAATAGGTGACCATCAGTGAGGGGTAGAAGGAGGGGACAGGGTCAGGTATGAGCCTCGAGGAAGGAAGTTGAAATTTGTATAATAGTGCACCCTGAATTTAAGGACTACCAGAGACCTTATGGTGTGCATTTCATTCCTATGATTAATGTGGATGATTTACAGAGTCAATTTAAGCCTTTGTTTTCAGCAAAGGACATGGGACAGCTGTAACCTGAACTAGTTGCCACAGTGAACACAATACCGAAGTCTCTCCGCAGCTAGCTACATACCAGATACTCTCCATACGTGCTCTCAGAATCCGTGAAGGCAACAAGCCTCTCGTCACACATGGCCACCTTCCAGCCCTCTGTATTGAGTCCGGCTGTTCTGGGCAATTCCCGGCTGAGCAGCTGTACCAGACTCCCTCCAGACAGTCCCAGGCTGAAGTTACTCTTCCCCCGGGATTCATGGACCAGGAGCTGTGACAGAGAGAGCGCAAGCTCTGCTGGAGAGGGGAACTCGCGGATCTGACGACTGGAAGACATCACGAATCTAGAGAAAGGGAACCACCAATAACACATTATACAAAGATATTTAAATCTTAAAAGCCTAAATCCGATGACACACTATTTAATTGAATTGTAAATCTCCTTTAGGCCTGCCGACATTTTCAGAATGGTCTGTTTTATCAGATCTCCGTCACCCCTCTCTGCCAATCCCTCCACTGGCTTCCGATTGCGCAACGAATCAAATTCAAAATCCTAACACTGACGTACAAAGCTGTCCACCACACTGCCCCGAACTACATCACTGACCTAATATCCAAGTACTGCCCAGCACGCACACTCCGCTCCTCACAAGACCTCCTTCTCTCTAGTTCCCTGGTCTCCTCCTCCCATGCCCGCCTCCAGGACTTCTCCAGGGTGTCACCCATCCTCTGGAACTCCCTGCCCCAACCCATCAGATTATCACCTACTCTCCTCTCCTTTAGGCGCACCCTGAAAACCCATCTCTGCAGGGAAGCCTACCCCACCCCCTGCTAACCTGCCGACTTCCTCCACTCTTCCTACCACTCCATCCCCCACAGCTATCTCCTCCTGTACCACTATCCCCTCCCTCCTAGATTGTAAGCTTGAAAGAGCAGGGCCCTCGAACCCCTCGTATTTCGCATTGTATTGTTACTGTACTGTCGCATGTTCTGTCCCCCTTTGTAATGTACAGCGCTGAGCAAACTATTGGCGCTTTATAAATACTGAATAATAATAATAATAAAAATAATAATAATATTTGATGCAAAGTGAAAGGATTGTTTAAATCTGTGTTCACAATACATAGTTTTGGTAAATCTAAAGCTGGCCATGTACATTACCATCTATTTGTACAACCTCCTTCAGACCGATCAAAACTACGTGATATGAGGGTCTAGCTATTCTAATTAAATGAAATCAGTAAGGCCCTCACACTACAAAGTTTTGGGTAGATCTAAAGGAACTTGTACAATTATATTGCAAGGTGTGCTTGATCAGCTTAAAAAGACACCATCACCTGTCCATAACCAGTAAAGTGACAGTACCTTTCAATTGTCCAGCCCTTGTCAGAAGGGTATATTTATCTAACCACGCTCCCCTACATGCCTCCCCAATGCAAGAGTCAACCCTGGGTAGGTTCAAGTGTCAGATGTTGCTGATGCTTTATACTCCCCAGTACCCAGAAGCCCTGTATGAAGATAGTGAGGTCTGATGAACCTCAAACTGTGTGGAGAGGATGGGGAAGTAGTAATTAACACCTTTCTACCCTCATTTTTGCCAAAATTAAGTCAATACAAAAACAGTCAGCTTTAAATGTCATGTCTGTGTTGAGCTTTTATGGAAGGTGACACATCTGACAAATAGAAGTCATGCAGGGCATCATACAACTCCTCCAGCAGGATCAGCAAAGGATATCTGAGGAGGCCCTGTCAAAAATGACCTTATAAATAGCTCACAGAACAGCTTTGGAACATCGTTTATGAGAATCTTTTTTCAGAGAAACTGACATGTACAGAGTTAAATTTCATACAATCTCCAAAATGTTTACCATAATAGAGTTACCTTCATAAAAAGTGATTACACAATCTATCATGAATAACTCGCTCAGCACTCCAGAGGATTTTACCCTCACCTACTGAACATAGTGGGAAACGGATCTTAATCTCCAGTTAATCCTTGAACAGCAGGACAAGGTACTATACTATACTCTCAAAACATCTATATTCATGAAGTACCAAGAGTCGAATTTTAAAATCTTAACTCAATAGTACAGGACACCCTGTACTTTACACACTATGTTCCTGTCCATCCCAAACATGCTGGAGGTGCAAAATAGACTCAGGTAACACCTTACATAGCTTCTGGACTTGTCCCATCATCCAACCCCTCTTGTCCAATCTATCTCAGAGAGATTTACCAATTTCTCCCACGTGACCCAGCCTTTTTCTTATTGCATCCTAACAATAATCCTAAATGAACCCACTAGAGATCAGTTTATCCTCATCTGATAAATGTGGCCAAAAGTTGCATCACTAGGTGCCTTCCACAGCCAAGTGGGTGACAAAAATCAATGAAATTGAACCAATGGAAGACCTAATAGCCTCTGACAGGGGTATACATGGCAAATTAAAAAAAAAAAAAAACTGGTTCTGCTGGAATGATATTTTCACTTCTGAATACAAAGCATTGTTACAAGATGACTCTGCCGTAGGTGTCTGTATCAATCAACCCCGCCCCCCCCCCTACGCCCCCCGGCTAGTTTAGAATAAAAACTGATTCATACAGTGGTCTTCCTTCTACTGGAAAAAGTATAACTGTACTTTAAATATTGCTGATTAGTTTTATATAAGCATTAATTTGGTCTTATTGAAGCGCTGTAGTACTGCATACGAATACTAGTTGTCACTCTGCATATACCAACGTTTATGACGATGAATGTACTAGTTGACACTCTGCATATACCAACGTTTATGACGATGAATGTACTAGTTGACAGTCTGCATATACCAACATTTATGACGATGAATGTTACTGTGGTCACCAATCTCATTGACCGTATTATAACATTCATCGTCCTAAACATTGGTATATGCAGAGTGTCAACTAGTACATTCATCGTCATAAACATTGGTATACGCAGAGTGTCAACTAGTACATTCATCGTCCTAAACATTGGTATATGCAGAGTGTCAACTAGTACATTCATCGTCCTAAACACATTGGTATATGCAGAGTGTCAACTAGTACATTCATCGTCCTAAACATTGGTATATGCAGAGTGTCAACTAGTACATTTATCGTCATAAACATTGGTATACGCAGAGTGTCAACTAGTACATTCACCGTCCTAAACATTGGTATACGCAGAGTGTCAACTAGTACATTCATCGTCATAAACATTGGTATATGCAGAGTGTCAACTAGTACATTCATCGTCATAAACATTGGTATATGCAGAGTGTCAACTAGTACATTCATCGTCATAAACATTGGTATATGCAGAGTGTCAACTAGTACATTCATCGTCATAAACATTGGTATATGCAGAGTGTCAACTAGTACATTCATCGTCATAAACATTGGTATATGCAGAGTGTCAACTAGTACATTCATCGTCATAAACATTGGTATATGCAGAGTGTCAACTAGTACATTCATCGTCATAAACATTGGTATATGCAGAGTGTCAACTAGTACATTCATCGTCATAAACATTGGTATATGCAGAGTGTCAACTAGTACATTCATCGTCATAAACATTGGTATATGCAGAGTGTCAACTAGTACATTCATCGTCATAAACATTGGTATACGCAGAGTGTCAACTAGTACATTCATCGTCATAAACATTGGTATATGCAGAGTGTCAACTAGTACATTCATCGTCATAAACATTGGTATATGCAGAGTGTCAACTAGTACATTCATCGTCATAAACATTGGTATATGCAGAGTGTCAACTAGTACATTCATCGTCATAAACATTGGTATATGCAGAGTGTCAACTAGTACATTCATCGTCATAAACATTGGTATATGCAGAGTGTCAACTAGTACATTCATCGTCATAAACATTGGTATATGCAGAGTGTCAACTAGTACATTCATCGTCATAAACATTGGTATACGCAGAGTGTCAACTAGTACATTCATCGTCATAAACATTGGTATATGCAGAGTGTCAACTAGTACATTCATCGTCATAAACATTGGTATATGCAGAGTGTCAACTAGTACATTCATCGTCATAAACATTGGTATACGCAGAGTGTCAACTAGTACATTCATCGTCATAAACATTGGTATACGCAGAGTGTCAACTAGTACATTCATCGTCATAAACATTGGTATACGCAGAGTGTCAACTAGTACATTCATCGTCATAAACATTGGTATATGCAGAGTGTCAACTAGTACATTCATCGTCATAAACATTGGTATACGCAGAGTGTCAACTAGTACATTCATCGTCATAAACATTGGTATATGCAGAGTGTCAACTAGTACATTCATCGTCCTAAACATTGGTATATGCAGAGTGTCAACTAGTACATTTATCGTCATAAACATTGGTATACGCAGAGTGTCAACTAGTACATTCACCGTCCTAAACATTGGTATATGCAGAGTGTCAACTAGTACATTCACCGTCCTAAACATTGGTATATGCAGAGTGTCAACTAGTACATTCATCGTCATAAACATTGGTATATGCAGAGTGTCAACTAGTACATTCATCGTCATAAACATTGGTATACGCAGAGTGTCAACTAGTACATTCATCGTCATAAACATTGGTATACGCAGAGTGTCAACTAGTACATTCATCGTCATAAACATTGGTATATGCAGAGTGTCAACTAGTACATTCATCGTCATAAACATTGGTATATGCAGAGTGTCAACTAGTACATTCATCGTCATAAACATTGGTATATGCAGAGTGTCAACTAGTACATTCATCGTCATAAACATTGGTATATGCAGAGTGTCAACTAGTACATTCATCGTCATAAACATTGGTATATGCAGAGTGTCAACTAGTACATTCATCGTCATAAACATTGGTATATGCAGAGTGTCAACTAGTACATTCATCGTCATAAACATTGGTATACGCAGAGTGTCAACTAGTACATTCATCGTCATAAACATTGGTATACGCAGAGTGTCAACTAGTACATTCATCGTCATAAACATTGGTATATGCAGAGTGTCAACTAGTACATTCATCGTCATAAACATTGGTATATGCAGAGTGTCAACTAGTACATTCATCGTCATAAACATTGGTATATGCAGAGTGTCAACTAGTACATTCATCGTCATAAACATTGGTATATGCAGAGTGTCAACTAGTACATTCATCGTCATAAACATTGGTATATGCAGAGTGTCAACTAGTACATTCATCGTCATAAACATTGGTATACGCAGAGTGTCAACTAGTACATTCATCGTCATAAACATTGGTATATGCAGAGTGTCAACTAGTACATTCATCGTCATAAACATTGGTATATG